GGCGCCGCGAGTCGAGGCGCCTCTGCCAAAGCCAGCTGTACCGGCGCCACTCCCAAGCAAAGTGCCCTGAAAGCTGATAGTGGCAAGGTCAACGAAGATGTTGACCCCTGCAATGGCTTGAAGGTTCTTTATTTTCAAACAAATGCGTGAAAAATAGTTCAACTTGTAAAACATTATACTGTACAAGTTGCTTAAGGGGCTCGTTTCAACAATACTTTTCAATGAAAATTAATATTGCCTGAGGCATTTAAAATTATTTAATCAGATTAGTTGATGATTTGGAAAAAATTCCACACACTGATTATGAAATAAATAAACTTTAAAAATAACTGAAAATTCCAGAAATCCTTAATTCTTTTCCCTCGAATAATTGATGCCCCAGGAGAAAAATAAATTGGTGAGGATTAAAATAACATTTTATCTTGGTCCCTTAATTGGTTCTCAATAATTCGACAACTCCTAAGAGGTAATATAAGTCATGGTTCTTGAAATGTTTCAGAAATCCGAAATAGTTTTTTATTTTATTTTCTCTGGCAGGCAAATAACTTAGATTTAAATGCATCTCTAATCCAAGAGGAAATAATTCAAAATTCAGCACATTTGACGGCGTTCGTTTTCTATGGAAGAAAAATTATTTTTCAAATATAAATTTTGCATTAGGCTGATGCAAACGGTGGGGAATGCGATGCTGAAGGAATGGAAGGTGAGGAAGACAAGGTTCCAGAGATTTTGGCTGTTGGGGCAATTATCCCTCGGGATCAGCAATGGTATTCGCCAATTGGGCTCGAACCCGGAAACAGGATCCTAATTTGCGGTCGCTTTCGACGCGACAATGTTGTGCCAATCGTGGATCTTTGGCACAACATTGACGAACAAAGAGTGTTTTTCTACAGCGTTTGTTTCGACGATTGTCGAGCTGTAAGTCGTCACAAAAATTCAATCCAAATACAGTATTATATAAAGTTCAATCTGAATAAGAATTGAAAATTTTCGCAGCGAATTTCGAATGCAGTATTTTCCATGACGAAATGTTAACATTTAAAAATTGAAAATGTATATTGAATAGTTCGTATGCCTTTCTGCAATATTTTCTTTCAGCCGAATCCAGGTT